TCTCTCGCTGCCGCGCCCGATTTCTCTCTCTGTGCGACAGAATCTCTCTATATGTGAGTGAAAAACCCCGATCGATCTCTCTCTGAACCTGTTTGTGACCATCTCTGTGAGAGTCGTTGTGAGTGACGTCGGAGTGCCGCCATTGTGCCGTCGTCGTGGCCTAGTTTCTCTTCGTCGGTTCAAGCCCTTGCGGGGTGCTTTCCGGCGAGCTTCTTCGTGAAGGAGAGGCTTTGCAACGGGGTGACCGGGTGCATGGCTCGTGAGTATGAGGTGCAGCCCGGGGAACGGGTCGAGGAACGGGGCTGCCGTTCGTTGACCGCCACCAAGTCGCGACTTACCGAGGGAGCCGGAAAGAAGGACGATCTGAGCCGACCTCGTGTCCCTCTTCGAAGATCGTCCGGTTAAAAGGGGGTTTTCTCGTTCCTCCTCTTTTATCTTCCTTTTTACAGCATTTTACTTCGTGTATTTCCTCATTTATTGTTGTTGTCAACCACCATTAAGCTGAGTGTTTGCTTTCAGGTGGTTTCTGGACAAAAGCGAGCTGTAACAGGAGCTTAAAGGTAAGTTGGGATCAACCCAGGCCTAAAAAGAGCTGTTCGCGAGCCCTTTGGACACAAACAACATATTCGAGAGTCCCGGCAGTACGAGCAACACCTCAGCAAGGCTCGTAAAAGCGTGCATGCTGTCAAACGAGCCAAGAGACGAGCTTTCGCTGCCGACGAGTCACGCAGTGGAAATGGGACGATCACATAACAATATTAATTAGTATATAAATCATTTAGACGATAACTTGGATTACAATTTTGATAGTATATAGAACACTCTAAGCTATATGGTGCATCGCATCAATCAAGTTACTAAAAAATTGGGGAGCCCGTATTATCTAAACATGGTAATTGTCAAGTGGTTCCCTATAATGAACGAGCTGAAATTCCATTAATCTCTACTCTAATCCATCACTCTGCATATTATGGTATGTTCTGCCCTCTTAGCACCGACACAAATCGATTTATTATTTTCCATTTTCTTGATATATTTATGGAATAAATCTAATTGTGGTAATAGCGGTGGCCTGTGGTAATCGGGAATAAAATTCTGTGGACATCGAGGCAAGCAAGACAGGTGTCCTCTTCCCCACCCCCAAGTAAAATGAATCATAGCTCCAATTAGCGGTCCTCGGACGAGAAGGGCCCGTCGATGGGCCCCACGTGTCAAATCCTGTGGTCATCGCAGGTTCGGACAAAAAAGCCGTGGGCCGGGGGATAATATAGGATTCCAGACCGGCCAATAGAAACTCGCCAGCTGCACCACACCCACCGCACACTCTATCTAATATCTATATATACACAGAGCAACGACATCTCTCTGCCCCAGCAGCTTAAATAAATCACAATAATTAATAATAATAAAAATAATAGTAATTAGCTGCCTAATTAATCCGGTCATCGGGTCAGTAAGTAAGAGATGGCGGAGGCGAGGAGGAGCGTGGTGGCGCTGCCGGAGGAGTGCCTCAGCCACGTCATCTCATTGACCTGCAGCCCGCGCGACGCATGCCGCTCGTCCACCGTGTGCGGGGTGTTCCGCGGCGCCGCGGATTCGGATCTGACGTGGGACAAGCTCCTGCCGTCCGATTACAGGGAGATCATCTCGAGGTCGGTGTGCCCGCCGGAGTTCGACTCCAAGAAGGACCTCTTTGTCAAGCTCTCGTCAGCCCCGCTACTCATCGACGGCGGCCGCAAGGTAAAATGTTCTTTTTGTTTTTGTTCTTTTTTGCGTGTGTGTGAGCGCGCTCTTATAATTTTGAATTTGAAATAAATAAAAAAAAAAGTGAATATTTGCTGAAATTTCGGAAGAATGAGTTACCCGATTGTTCAAGTAATTATTTGACTAATGAAAAGTAATATTTGATTGTTATTTTTCTATTTTTTATTATTAAAGGAGTACTTTTTTCTTGGGTGAGTCGGTTAAATTATTAGACCCGATAGACTCAGCACTGTCAGCAGTAAAAAACTACATATAATAAGGGCGAATTTTATGGTCTCGTTACGAAATCATTCCGTCGAGGTTTGTAGCCGTTATATCAACTATTTATGACGGTTACATGATGATTTAACGGTTACAAATTCTAACAAAATAGTTCCGTAACGGAACTGTAGCATTTTTATAGGATTAATTTGTCATACATTTATAATAAAAAATACATACTTTATAAAAAATATTTTAGATGTTTTTTTTTATGTTTGTAATATAGAATTTCAGGTAAAAAAATATGAAGAACTATCACTGTGTTGATTTTAGTATTTTTTAAATATGAAATTTCAATTTAAATGTATATATATATATATATATATATATATATATATATATATATATATATATTAAAACTATGAAAAACTAGTTGTTAGTATGTTAGGCTTAAGTAGGGCTGCAAACGAATCGAGCCGAACATTGACTTTATCGAGTATGATTGATTTTTTTTTTTAACCGCTCGAGCTTGATTTATGAGGTTCGAGCTCGACTCGATAAAAAAATACAATAGCTCAGCTCGAGCTCGACTCGAAACCAAATGCTCGAGCTTGACTCGAATTCGGCCTAAAATTTTTTAAGTGAAATTAACTTTAAGCACTTGTGTTATATTATTTAAAATATATATAATGAGTAATTTAATAATTTAATATATATCGAGCCGATTTACAATGTAAAATATGAGATCGAGTTCGACTCGAATACGTGCACGAGCCTCTCGAGTTCGAATCGCATTCGATCAAACTCGAGCTCGAGATTCAAGCGCTCGTGAGTCGCTCAACGCGTTTGCCGCCGAAGGCTTAACCAAGTGGATTATCTTTCTTTTGTTCAAGTCCAATATATATATGAGTCTGCCAGTACAAGTACAATGGATATGTATGATAGTATACAGTACAAATATTGGGTTTTAGTTTCGTGCTAAATTTGTAATTCTATTTACTAATATTTTCCACAATTAAATACCGTAAGTTGTAGTTGTATGATAATTCACTGGAGAATTTGATATTGGCAAGTTTTGTTATTGTTATGATGGAGATTGGAGGCATTATATATAAGAAAGTTTAACCTGAAATTAATATATATGGTTGCGTGTTCGAATTTTGCACGGGTGCCGTAAGAATGTCTTCAAACGCTTAAAATAATATAGTTGTAATTGCAGCAATAAATGGTTTACTATAAAGTACAATTTTAATACAACTTTTATAACTTATTGATTATTTTATATTCAATCACTTAATTTAAAATATAATTTAATACAACCTTTTTTATTTTTTATAAATATAATTAAATAATACCAATTAATTATTATCAGACATTACATAAATTTTAATTTAATTTATTGTTTATCTATTTACATAATTTCAACTACACAAGTCTTATGTGAAAAAAAAATACATAATTCTTAAATGACATGAATATAACTAAATAAAATAAATAAAAGTAATTAAATTCACTACAATTTAAAATAGACTTAAAATGCATCGAGTCTCTATCGACCAGTCCCATTCTCCTTGGTCAATTTATTACATGATGATTTGTACCAAAAAAAAAAAATATATATATATATATTAAATCATCCACAATGCTTTGAGTCTCTTTTTGCATATGTAGCAAATAAATAGACTTAAGTCCATAATGAAATGGACAAACTCAAACTAAAAAATCCAAAATCTATCAAATTCAAAACAAAAAAAGTACTAGGTCTAGAATACATGACAATCAATAAAAATACTCTAATATATTTCATTTATTAAAAGAAAAATTAAATGAGGAATAAATGATGAGTGCTCGGGTTTGTACTTAGGTCTAAAATAGACCCAAATGTGGACTAGGTCTCATTTTTGCATTGTCACATAAGCTAGACTAGGTCCACTTTTAATTGCATTGGATAACACTTTTTTATAGATTACGTCTATTTCTTACATGGCATGTAACTTTTTTCTAAGAAATCTAAAGCATTGTGGGTGCTCTTACATGATTATTATTATTTTTTTTTTTTTTTGTGAAGACTGTGGATGACTTTACTCCAGTGCATATCCTTATAATGCTATCATCGCATTACGGTAATATCATCTCGTCGGATAAACACCGGACGGGATAGTACCATAACGAAATCGTAATTTTTTTCCTATAAGATATTTTGTACTTCACACAACGAAAAACGTGGTTTCAATTATTAAATTTCCTCTCCACAAACAATTTCAGAAAAAAAAAA